GCCACGCGGACCAGGTCATGTCGGTCCGGTTCACGAAAGACGGCAGGAGATTGGTGACGGCATCCACGGACAGGACCGCCAAAATTTGGGCCCTGCAGAGCGGAAAGTGCTTGCAGACCCTGGTGGGCCACAAGGGCCCCGTTTACTCCGCCTCGCTGTCTCCAGACACGGCGGACGTGGAGCTGGCAGTGACCGCGTCGCAGGATCGAACCGCAATGCTGTGGCACACGGAGGGCGACACGGGCACCTGCTTCTTGATGCTGAGCGGGCACGAGAAGCAGGTGCACGACGCGGAGTTCTCCCCCCACGGCAGGCTCGTTGCCACGGCCTCCGACGACCGCACCGCTCGGCTCTGGGAGATCCCGAGCGGCGCCTGCATGCAGGTCCTGCGCGGCCACACGGATGCCGTGTACTGTGCAGCCTTCTCCCCCGACGGGAGGTCCGTGGCGACGGCGTCGGCCGACAAGACCGCGAGACTCTGGGAGGCGGCCACCGGCGACTGCATCAGAACGCTCAGCGGGCACACCAGCTGGGTGCGCCACGTCGCCTTCGACGAGGGCGGGACGCGCATGGTCACCGCGTCCGGCGACAGCACCGCGCGGGTCTGGCTCTGCAGCGACGGGCAGTGCCAGCTCACGCTGACCGGCCACACGGGCTGGATGCGCGGCGCGGAGTTCTCCGAGGACGGCGCCCAGATTGCCACGTGCGCGAGGGACGGCACCACGCGCATCTGGTGCGCCACCAGCGGGTGCTGCCTCCGAAGGCTGTCGGAGAGGCCTATAGAATCAAGGTAACTCCGTGGCAGGGCGCTCCAGAACACTCAGCAGAGCGCTCCGGAACGCTCTGAAACGACCGCGGCGCCGGAGCCATCCTCCAAGCCCGCCGATTTCTCTGAGATTTCCGATCTACAGTCGGGCCGCTGAAGAAGGAACCCTTTTCGCTGGAGAGGGGCTCAGTGTTCCTTACTCACGTGTTTTGCAGCTCGTCTTAGGTGTTGGGAACTCGAAGTTTAGCTTATGGGCAGAAGGGACCTCGTTCCTCACGTAGGGTTCCTTCTGACAGCGTTTCGATTGTATATTGGTCCGATGCTGTCTCGATTCTGCCGTCGTCGTAGGCTGGAGCACGACGCCTGGGTGCGTTCGGCGGCCTTCGCCCCCGACCTGCTGGACCACGACGGGGGCACAGCGGGCGCCCCGCCGCGGTTCTTCGAGCGCGACGTGGCTGCGGCCCGCAACCGTCCGCGGCTGGGCTCGTCCGCCGCCCGAAAGCTTTCCGCTTAGACATACATCGATACATGCATACATACACATACGTACACACATGCATACATGCATGCACACATGCGTACATACACACACATACATATACATATATATATATATATATATATATATATATATATATATATGTATGGTAGTTTGTACAACTGAATGCTGAGCGGAGACGGGGAACCGGACGAAACCTTGTAAAGTACAGTCGTCTGGGAGCAACGCAGAAACCGACCCTTTTCAACTGAAAAGGGTCGGTTTTTCTGCCGGCGAGAACACTACAGACGTCATTGGCTTGCATACGTACTCATATTTGTGCTCAAAGTTTTTGTGGGGGCCCCGGCTCCCATGGAGGCTCTGCTCCTCGAGATTACCCGGGGCATTTCAACCGCCCTCGCCGTGCGGTCTTCGGCGGTCCCCTGTCCAGACTGCACCTGCAATTGCGCGCCTGCGCTTGCCTGCTCAGAGGGCGCGCTCCCGCGGGAGTTCGGGCAGGAGACGGGCTGGGAGTGGCCCGGGCCCTGGGCCTGCTTCTCCTTGATCGGCCTCGGCGCGGTCGCCGGGGCCTCGGCGGTGCTGCTGGCACAGCGCTGGCTGGCGCCTGCCCCCGCAGCGGCGCCGGCACGGGCAGCGGGCCCAGCCGAGCTCGCGGACCCCTCGTCCGCCCGAGCGGACTTGCTTCAGGAGGCGCGCGCGCAGCTGGCGGAGGTTGCAGCACGCCGCGCCGCGGCCCGCCAGGCCTGACGCCATGGCGGCTCCACACCAGTTCATCGCGGCGGGCTTGGCCGAGGGCGACTTCCTGGCTGTCCGATACAGAGTGGGTGGCCGGCGCCTGTGGCACCGCCGCCTGGTAGTGGCGCTCGTGCCCGGCGGGACCACCGTTGCGGGCATCATGACTCCCGACCTCGATGAGTACGACGAGGACGTGGCCGACCAGGCGAATATCGCAGAGTGGACGATGCTCCTGCTTGGCACGATCGGGCCTGCTGCTCCGGCTATGGGTAACGACGACGTCTACGATTTCAGGCACATCCCGTTGCAGGCCGCGGTGGATGCAGCTCGAACCGCAGCATACGCGAGAAGGGGGGCTGTGCCGGTCGGGCCCATCGTGGTCAACCTCGCCGGGCGCGTGGGGGCTGGCGCTCCTGTGGGCGCAGCACCCCCTGCGGCTGGCGGCGCGGCGGCTGCGGCGGCTGGGGGCCCTGGCGGCGGCGGCGGCCTCGCGGGGCTGGTGGCGGCCCTTGGCGGCCCGGCGGGCGGCCCGGCCGTTGCGGCGGCCGCCCCAGCGGCCCTGGTGCCCGTGGCAGCGCCCGCCGCCCCTGCCGCCGGTGCGGGCGCCCCGCCAGCCGGGCCTGGGGCCGCGGCGGCCATCCTTGGCGCGCCCGTCGCGCCCGCCGCCCTGGCAGCGCCCGGCGCGCCCGCGGCCGCGGCTGCAGCTCCCGCGGCGGGCGCCCCGGCGGCCCCGGCTGTGGCTGGACCTGGCGGCGACGCCCGGATCTTCGGCGTGGTGGTCGATGCGCGCGGGGTCCGTCATGTGGACTTCTGCACCGCAGTCACCCGGATGACCGAGCTCCCCTGGCCAGACAGGCCCGTGCGAGGGCCGCGCACTTTGCGGTGGGTGGCAGAGTTCATGGCGCAGCGGAGCGGCACGCCGACGGCGCATCATCAGAGGTGGCTGGCGGAGACGGGCCTTGACCCCGCTGGTCCAGGAGTGGAGATCCACCAGACGGGCTGCGTCGTCCTCGAGACGGCCATTACCTACGACCAGGAACACGCCACGAACCTCGCCCACCTCGAGCTCGTCGCCCGCTCGATCCAGGTGCAGGAAGAGAAGTACCGGTTTCTCGTTGAGCCCGACGATGCCTCGGCTGCTGACAGGTCGGCCATGATGGGGACGTCGCAGCTCGCGGGCTCTGCGTGTGTCTGCCCCGCCCTTCGCGACTATCTCGCATCGGAGTTGCAGAAAGAGATGGCAGTTGCGAAGGAGCGGAGGAAGGCGCGCGAGGAGCGCGCCCTCGCCGGCGGCCAGCCTGGCGGCAAGCGCGGAGGGGGCGGCAGGGGCCGCGGCGGCCGGCGGGGCAGAGGCTCCGGTGCCGCAGGCGGCGATGCTTAGCTTGCCGGAGGGCGGTCGGCTTGGCCCGCCGCCGCCCTCGCTCCTCCAGGCCTCCGCGGGCGCCAACAGCGCTGCCCGCACTTCGGGCGAGGCCGGGCCCCCTTCGCGCGAAGACGGTCGCCAGCGCAACCTCTTCCCGCTGCCGCAGCTCACAGCAGCCGACGCGGCGCCTGGCCTCTCTCGCACCCGGCGGCGCGCTCGGGCGGGCCACGCCCTCGGGCACGCGCTCGACCGGGCCAACGCAGCCGTGCATGCACTGAATTACCTATGCGGTGACAAGTCCTCGCCCGAGTCGGCCGTTCCGACAGCTGGGCAGCGCTGCGCCGTCGGTCACATCTGGGACACCATTGCCGCCCTCGGCCCCGAGCCGGACGAGTACCGCGACGACGTGTCCGACCCCAACGGGGCCCTCCGGGAGCTCCTTGCTGGGTCCGCGCTGTACCCTGACGGCAGCGGGCCCACCACTCCCTACGTGCCAGACCTCGTCTCTTGGCCCGATGTGTCCCAGCCCCCAGCGCCGCTCCTTGGGCTGCTTGGAGAGCGGGACGCCGCCGCGCTGCAGGAGTGGAGGCGCCATATGCTTCGAGATGCGGAGGAGGCGCGTCAGCTTCGGGCTGAGGCTTGTCCGCGCGGGCCCTACACGGACCCCGCCCTCGTTCAGTCGCCCACAGAGTATGCCAAGTTCCTGGGCGCGATGGCTGAGCGCCACATGCTCACTTTGTCTCCCGCCCGGGGGCGGCGGGGCAACATGGGAATATGTTTTGTACCTAAAAAGAATGGGAAGTTGAGGGTCATCTTCGACACGCGGGTGGCCAACTGCTCGTTCATCGAAGCCCCGAGGACCCAGCTGCCGTCTGCCTCGGCCTGGGGCCGCCTCGAGGCTGGCGACGTTCGCCTCAGCATCGGCTCCGCCGACCTGGACGTCGCTTTCTACCACGTGCAGGTGCCTGCTGGGATGGAGGAGTTCTTCACCTTGCCTCCGATCCCTGCAAAGTATTTGATGCCCTTCGGATGCGTGGAGGCCGGCACGAGGGGTGACGACCTCCTGCTCCCGCAAGTGGTGGTGCTCCCGATGGGCTTCAGCTGGGCCCTGCACCTGTGCCAGACGGTGCTGCAGACATCCCCGTGCCGAGCCGGCTTCTCGCCCGAGAACCTGATCCTTGACGGCCATAGCGGCTGCCAGCTCTCTGGCGACCCATCCTCGGTCGTGGGCGCCGGCTACGTGGACAACTACTTCGCCCTCGGCGGCTCCCCAAAGCACGTGAGTGAGCAGCTGCAGGCTATCACCGACGACCTCCAACGGCATGGGCTCGCAGTTCATGACGTCGAGGAGCCCTCCCAGGACTGCGACTTCCTGGGGCTGTCGCTGCGCGAGGGGCGCTGGCTCAGCCTTCGGACTCGCAACATCTGGCGCCTCCGCGCGGCCATCCGCGGCGCTCTGCGCCGCCAGCTGATCAGCGGGTTCCTGTTGCGGGTGCTCACCGGCCACATCACGTGGGCCCTTCTGCTTCGACGAGAGATGCTGTGCGTGCTGGGGGCGACCTACGCATTCATTCAGGCCACCGGGCCCGCGGCGGCGCCCCTGTGGCCTGCGGCGCGACAGGAGCTCCAGCTGATTCACGACCTGCTGCGCCTTTGCACGGCCGACCTGGGCGCCCCCTGGCACGGGCGCGTCGCGTGTACAGGCGCCTCTCCGTGGGGACTGGGTGTCGTTGCTCGCCGCGCCCCAAAGGACCTCGTGGGCGCCACAGGCCGAGTTGCTGAAAAGTGGAGGCATAAAGTCGAGGGAGGAGCGCAGGCGAGAGCTCGCACTGTAGGAGTGTCGGAGGAGACTGATGCCGCCGCCGACCTCGGCCACACCCTCTCGCTCGACAGCTCGGACAACGCGAACGTCGGTCCCGGGGGGAAGGGGGCGCAGGACGAGCTGGGGCGTTCGGTGCTCGATCCTCGCCCGCCCGTCGACTTAGGAGGTCCCCGCGCATTTCATTCGGGAGTCGGCCTGGGGCTCGGTCGCCGCGGTCTTCGTCGACGGTCAGGCCAACATCTTGGCCTTGGAGGGGGAGGCTCTCGTTCTTGGGTATCGCCATCTGTTACGGTCCACGTCTTCGTTCGGGCCCCGGTTCTTCGCCCTCTCCGACAACCTGCCCTTGGTCCTGTCGGTCGGGAAGGGCCGGGCTCGCAGCAGGCACCTCCAGTGCACCCTTCGCAAGATCTGCGCGCTCTCCGTGGCCACTGGCTCTACCCTGTCTGTCAGGTGGATCCCGTCGGAGGCGAATCCCGCCGACGGGCGCAGTCGCGGGCGCGCTGGCTGGTTCTCCGGCAGTCGGCCGGCGCCGGCACTGCCGGGCGTGGGGCTGCTGGATCACGCGGCTGCACTGGTTGCTGGCGCTCCTCCTCCGGGCCGCGCTGACTGGGAGGAAGCAGGCGGCCCCGACGGCGTCGGCGCTGAGGGGCGAGCGAGCCCGCCGCGCGCAGGAGCTTGCAGCTGCTGCGGCGCCGGTCCTGGGGCTCTCGCTGCTGGAGCGGCTGCCGGTGCGGCCCTCGACCGAGAAGCTCTACCGGGGGGCGCTGTCGGCCTTCGCGAGCTTCTGCGCAAGGCACCGCCTGGACTGGACAGACCATGCCAGCCTCGACTCGGTCCTCGTGCAGTACATGGACAGCGAGTTCCTCCTCGGCGGCGGCGGGAACATGGGGAACGTGCTCCTGGCGGCGGTCGCCCACTTTCTCGGCTCGCTCCACAAGCGAGCGGCGACGCAGCTGCCGAGGGCGCGCCGCGCGGCTGCAGCCTGGGCCCGGCGGGCGCCGGGCCGCGCGCGCCTCCCGCTGCCGCGGCGAGTCGTGTTTGCCATCGCGGGCGTCCTCCTGCGCGACGGGCGCTCCCGGCTCGCCATCTGCATCCTCGTCATGTTTGCGTGATACCTTAGGCCCGGGGAGGCGGCGAAGCTGCGCGGGCGCCACTTGATAGCGCCTTCTGCCTCCGCGGGGACGCTCTACCAGTACTTCGGGCTGCTCCTGCACGAGAGCGGCAAGGACCCAGGCAAGACGGGCGTGAACGACGAGAGCATCCTCTTTGACCGCGAGGGCTGGCTCGCCCCCCTGCTGGCGGCCTTGAAGCTCAGCACCCTGCCCGACCAGCCGTTGTGGGGGGAGACGATCGCGCAGCTGCCGAAGCTCTTCGACAGCGCCTGCCGGGAGCTGTCGCTGGAACGCCTCCGACCACACTTATACAGCTTGCGTCGCGGCGGGGCCTCGGACGACATGCTGTCGCAACGGAGGTCTCTGCCAGAGATCCAGAGGCGCGGACGATGGCGGTCCGCGAAGAGTCTCAACCGCAAGGAGACAAAGCTGCTGGACGAGCTCGCCTGGATCCCTCCGGCTGCCCTGGAGCTCGGGGCTTTCGTCGAGGACAATTTGATGGCGCTCGTCGAGGGCTCCCTCCCCGCGCTGCTGGCGACTGGCCGCGCGCCGGCCGGGGCCGCCGGCCTGCTCGGAGCTCAGGCCGTCGCCCCCCAGCGGGCGCGGAAGCGGCCGGCGGCGGCGCGGTGACGGCCACTGGCGGCGCGGACGCCAGCGCGGCGGCTGGCGGCCCAGCCGCCATCAGGCGGCACCTGCGGCGGCAGTACCAGCGCGCGGCGGCCCCAGGGCGCCGGCTGCGTCGTCGGCCCGTGCTGGAGCTGTTCTGCGGCGCCGGCACGATAGCTCGTGCGATGGTGGCGCTGGGCTTCGCCGCCTTCGGGCTCGACTGGAGCCGCAGCCCGCTGGAGGACCACGTTGCGGCGACATTCCAGACCGTCGTCCTTGGCTGGATCCAGTCCCGAGCGGTGGGCGCCGTTTGGCTCGGCACGCCGTGCACGAGCTGGACGAGGGCGCTCCGGCGGCCGCTGAGGTCCGCGCTCCACCCGCTCGGTCTTCCTGATCTGAATGCCCATGAGCAGGCCAGGGTAGGCGCTGGCAACGCTGCGTACCGCTTTACGCTCATAGTGATTCGCGCATGCATTGCAGCTCGAGTGCCCGTATACTTTGAGAATCCACAGACCTCGCTCATTTGGTCTGGCCCTGGGCTGGCTCGTCTGTGTAAGTCGCCCTCTTGTCGCAAGTCTGTGTTGCATCAGTGCCAGTACGGCGCGCTTTACAGAAAAGCCACCACCATCTGTTCTTGGGGTGCCGCCGCATCGCCGTTGCTCGAAAAGATTTGTTCTGGTCGCCGAGGGCTTTGCAGTAGGACTGGCAACAGGCACCTCGTTCTTGAAGAGAACGACGAGCAGGGTCGAAAGCGTACCGCGCTCGCTGCTGAGTACTCCTCCCAGCTCGCCGCTGCCGCTGCCCAGTGCATCGTTCAGTCCCTTTCTCTGCAGCCCGGGCAGGCCCTCCATTCGCTCGCCATGAAAATGACTAGTTAATGCGGCCTTCGGCCAGACAAACCTTCGGGATCGGGTGGGGGCCACCAAAGTGGGTCTCTGCTGCTGCTGGTGCCCGCGTCCGCCGTCTCATCTGCAGTTGCACGATTGCATCGCATCGCCTGGCCCCTTCCTGTCCCAAAAGAATGATGGCCTCGACGGCGTCGCGAGCTGGTAGTCTTTACAACTGAATGCTGAGCGGAGGCGGGGAACCGGACGAAACCTTGTAAAGTACAGTCGTCTGGGAGCAACGCAGAAACCGACCCTTTTCGACTGAAAAGGGTCGGTTTTCTGCCGGCGAGAACACTACAGACGTCATTGGCTTGCATGCGTACTCATATTTGTGCTCCAAGTTTACCCATTGCCATCCCGCTTCGCCTACTTTGAACTGATCTGTCAGGGGTGGGGGCCACCAAAGTGGGTCTCTGCTGCTGCTGGTGCCCGCGTCCGCCGTCTCATCTGCAGTTGCACGATTGCATCGCGTCGCCTGGCCCTTTCCTGTCCCAAAAGAGTGATGGCCTCGACGGCGTCGCGAGCTATATATGTATGTATGTATGTATGTATATAATTATGGCGCCCCGTGGGGCATCGGAAGTAGGGCCCTGGGGCGGTGCCTGTCATCTCCATGGGGTGTGCAGGGCGCCCCCGGGAGCGTCCGAAGCGTCCCGGAGGGCCCCTGGGACCGCCAGGAACAGTTCGAGACCGCCCAAGACGGCCCGCGAGCGCTCCAAGACGCGCATACATAGCCTCAGGAATTGTCAGGAAGGCCCGAAGACGTTCCAAGAAAGCTCCATGAGGCCCCGAAGGCATCCCAAGAGGCCTCCCAAGAGAGCCCCGACAAGCCAAAATCGTTGATTTTTATTTTTTTTCCAAGGTTTTGGCCTTCTCGCTTTTTCGGAGT